ACCCAGCAGTCTGTAAGGACGATTTGACAGTAGCATTCGGGATTTGCATGATCGTACTCCATTTTGATCTGTCCGGTTGAGTGAAATTTCGTATGACATCGTACAAAGAGTTCTTGTGGGCGTTGAGGCACTGAAGTTGGAGATTGGCTATTGCGTCTGATGCGAATATTGTTTGGACATTATCAAAAAATTCTTCTCGTATTCTTTTGATTTTTAATTTCGCATTCCCACTTGCCGCAGTTGACTTCCCAGTCCCACTGCGGCCAATCAATACGACAGTGGTGTACGCTGTCTGAAAGTGTTCATCATACAAATCCGGGAATATTTCGTCCGAGTTAGTGATGCTTGTGCTAAATACTGCATCTAGTTTTTTTTTTAATATTTCAGGTATAGGTCTCTTGTCCCGAGAAATCAACACAGTTCGTATCATTTTGTATGAGTGCCCATCGGCTGTGTCCGGAGTTGTTCACTACAGGCGAGTTGCAATTCCTGAGAACAAAGGATATATATTATATTGTCAGAAAGAGGTTCGATGAAATGTAAACGTTTATGGGGAGGCAAAAGGGGGTTGCTCTCATACACATTCACACATGCACATGCAAAAAATAAAAAAATCACAAAATCAAAAAGAGGCGCGCGCAACGGTTGGCACATCAAACGCCAAGCCAAAACTTTCCCGAATAAAAGTAATATTTTCACATTCTTAGCAAAAAAATAGTATAATTAAGTGCCCAATATAGTGAAGAAGAACTGTGAGAGTTATCTTGGAAATCCGAGAGCCCTGAGACTATTGAATTCGTAGAGTTCAGCAGGGTGTCTCTCAGATTGAGGTTACGGCGGATAGAGTGGCAGGCGGGAAAATCGACAAGTGACAACAACAGAATCTGAAAAGGACATGGGGCATCCTAAATCTCAATCACCCTCATCACCGAACCCACCCAAAGGCCCAGCCAGAGGAAGAGGGAGGCCATCAGGTAGCAAAAACCAACCCAAAGGAGCGGATAAGGAAGACACGTCGAAGGCAAGAAAAAAAGCTAAGAGAGATGGACACCCCCCTAGAATTGACACATTTCTCACGGCCTACGAGAAGGAGCCCAATCCATTTACCAGCAGGGAAGAAAAAAGTAGATCCCCGACCCTCACCCCAGGCACGAGGAGGAAATCCCATGACTCAAGGTTGGTTCATCAACAGGACAACAACTCAGAGGATGAAGATGACCCAGAGATGGAATCCACAGACATCAGTACAGACCGAGCCAAAGCCGCCGAGTCGATCCATTGGCATTCACAGGAGGACCTGGGCAATCCAACCATCCCATCGAACTCACAGGCAAGTGAAATTCTGCTTGATGAGGACGACCGAGAATTGATAAGGCGTCTCGACTCACTAGCTGCTGAACAAGCCCCAAAGCTCTACTCCCAAGGAGAGAAAGGACCAGTAGACCTCACAGGGTCGGATGAGAGATCACACAGATGAGGAGAAGTAATTGAAACACCGAATCAAGAGAAAAAAAGGCACAATTCCACGAGGGGCACGAAAACCCCAACAGGACACCTGACTCGGGATACCCAGCTGGAGGCATTACTGGAAGGGATGGAAAGGAGACTCAATACGGCAGTGACAAATGCATTGCATCGAGTGCTGGATCAACTTAGGCTGGAACTGGCAGAGAGGGATCGCTTGTGGCAGGCTGAGTTAATGAAACAGGAAGAACAAGTGACCTCTCTCCGAAAGCTAATACAACAACTGAAGCACAGCCACGACGAAATGAAGAACGACCTGTCCAAGCTCTCAGATAATCTCCCCAATATTAACAACAACTACATGGAAGCCCCCCTGGCGGTAAATGCAGCCAGGACGACAACACCTGGACTCACAGGCAATTATAAAATGAACGAGGATGCAGAGGATTTCTTGAGGAGGATGGAGCCTTGGATCCCGCACAATTCATCGTGCATACCGCCGGCAACCCGCCAAAGGTCAGTGGGAATAGGAAGCACCTTCCAGTCACAGAATTTACAAAATTCACAAACAACACACTCGGCAGAAAATCATTGGCACCGACGCAGTACACCCCCCCCCCCCCCTCCCCCCAATTCCCTCAAACCAATAGAATTGATGGCCCACCAAGATCCACACTCAGTCACGTGAACCCGAACTCTTTGAGAAGACCGGAAACGGGATTCTCGCCAACATGGACCCCACCGATTCTGACCGCGGGCCAGCTGAACACCGAGATGTCAAAAAGATCTCGAAGAAAGAAAAACCTCATCGTGCACGAGAGAGTTTCCCAGGTGAGTGACGTAGAGAAAGAAACTGCTAGGCGCATCTTTAATACCACCGGTATGCTACCAATGATAAGACAGGTGAAGACACTGGGAGAGAACCGATTGTTGGTAAAGCTTAAATCTCTCAACAACAAAATTAACATCATGAAGAAGAAGAGAGCACTTCAGGAACAGGGGCTACACATGGAAGATGACTACACTAAGAGAGAAACAGAAATACAAGACTGGCTAACGCAGGAAGCTACCCTCCTCAGGCAAAAGGGATCGGAGGTAACAGTGGGATACCAGAAGTTGCTAGTGCAAGGAATCTGGTGGACCTGGAATGAAAACGAGGGGAGGCTGATCCCTCAATCCCCTCACGGAAGAGGCAACCGTCTGAGGAGAAGATCCACCAGCAGAGGTCACGGTAGCCAGAGGCAGTGGCGGTAGCAGTCAACAACAGAACCATCAGCACATCCACTTGGTCTCATGGAACGTGGACGGAGCGTATAAAATAAAAAAGAACTGGAACTTCCTCAGTCAGTTTGATATAATTGTCCTCCAGGAGACCCATTTAGAAAGGAAAAACGAATTGAAAATATTAGGCAGTATCGACCCCAGTTTCACATTGTTCGATGAGATGCCTGGATCGGTGAGAATAATTAATTTTTCGGCGGGATTTGAGTGGATTGCGGGAGTGGAGGAGCGGGTCCAATAAAATGACGGAACACGTGCACGTGGTGTCACAATCACTTGAATTTGTCAATAAAGAGTCACAATAAATGTCACAATATTTTGTCACTGAGCAGATCATAAATAATGAGCGGACCGGAATTCTTAGAAAGAATAATAGGTGAGCAGACACTGTTAATTAATTCCGATTACGCAGAAATGAGCGGTACAAAAGAGCTGTTACACTGAGCAGTTCCCGGAAACGAATGAGAAAGAGACACGGGCCTACAGGTGCCACGTGCCCTCAATCGGAGGTCACATGACCTATTTTAAATATAATACAATATAATATTGATAAAGGTAATGAAGAGCGGTCCAGGACGTGGCACCTCAGGTGTCGGAATTAATAACCCCCGATCATCTGAGGTTAATGCGTCAGGTGTGCGTGAGTGAGGAGAGAATGGATGAGCCGCGCATCTGTATGTGTGAGTGCCTGGCAGCTGACAGGATTTCCAACACACATGGATAACGCAAGCAGCGTCAAGAACGAGCCGAAGAGGGAAAGCGAAGGGTGGAAATCTGCTGGCAGTGAGGAAAACTGGCAGTAGAGGTCTGACGATGAACGAGTGAGAATACGGAACGCAAATCAAGGGACTCAGCTCAAAAGATGGACGACAACTGACTCTAATCGGTGTATACAACAATGTTAAAATAGAACAAGTGATAAAAAAACTACAGCCCTTGGTAAACGATGCTCTAGAGACCGGTAGGGTTCTGATCATTGGAGACTGGAATGCGCGGGTGGCAAGGAAGCAGTGCTCAAGTGAGGTACTAGATGAAGTGGGGATGCAACTCCCGAGAGAGTCAGAGGGTGGAACACTGAACCGAGAGGGTGAGATGCTGATTGAATTTGGCGAACGAAACGACCTGGTCATCCTGAATGGAGCAATCGAGGGAGATCGTCGTGGCAGGACGACCTTCCTAGGGGGGTCGGATTCAGTGCTTGACCTGGCTATGATAAGCATCACGGAGACTTCGCTAGTGGAGGAGCTAGAAGTCATACCGAGACTGGGCTCGGACCACCTTCCAGTGGCTCTAAAACTCTCATTGCACAGTGATAGATAGCACCCTCCAGACACAAATAGTACAGCTGAGGAAGAAACCTACTCGGAGAAACTGGCCTGGAATGACAATAAACTGGAGGAATACCAGAAGAAAGTCACGGAGAGGCTCCTTGAAGAGAACCCCTCAGAGGACCCAAAGGAGACTTGGAAGCTCCTGAAAAACTGCATTTGGGAGGCGGCAAGGGACTGTGCCATGGTGAAGAAGGTTAAGGCAATTACACCAATAGAGGAATCCTGGATAGACGCTGAGTACAAGAAACAGCGGAGTAGGACTTTCGAAGCTCTAAAAACCTACCACAAGGACAAGATAGACCCTCAGCACAGACAAAACTGGCTGCTCCAGAGAAACCTCTTGAAATCTTTGAAGAAAGAAAAAGTCACGGCCCTGCAAACCAGCAAATGAGAGAGAGTGGAAACGAGTAGGAACATGCAGGAACTATGGGCAGGCCTCAACCTCTTCCGAGCGAGGAAATGGTCCCCGAAAGGGAATATAAGTGATGGTGAGTGGATTGGTCACTTCGAACGCCTGTTGAATCCACCTGGGCAATTCGCAGCAAGCCACCAGACGTCAGGGGATGAGGAACGAACCCAAGGAAATGGTTTTTCAGGCAGGGTGGATGAAGGTGGGCCCCTGAACAAGAACTCCAAGGATCCCACTGGGGATCACCCACTAGAACAACCCGAAGCTGTGGAGTGGTGGAACGAGCCGATCACTGACCTGGAAGTAGACAAAGCTCTACAGGGGATGAAAAACCATAAGGCCCCAGGAGAGGACGGCGTCTCTGCCAAATTCTTAAAAGCTCTCCCAGACGTAGGCAAAGCTGCGTTCCGTCGGACGATACAAACCTGTTGGACGGAAGAAAGGCTAGCCCAGGGTTGGAAAACGGCCTACATTTGTCCCATCTTCAAAAGTGGAGAAGTCGATGAGGCAAGCAACTACAGAGGAATTTCCTTACTAGATCTAGGATATAAAGTCCTCACGAAGATCATCTTCCTGGGCTCCCCCGTAAGAAAAGTGAGAAGATAATGTAACTTCTCGACGGCTGAGAGGTTATTGTTGTCGACTACCATGGAGATGAAAAGGTCTTTGAATGGAGTCCACTCCGGGAAATCTCCTGAGAACGACGGCAAAGATATTTTTGGCAACGGGCGCTGCGAGATTTGTCCAGTCGAAGCTGATTGAGCAGGTCTCCGGTAGAACGACTCCGACATGTCCACGGATTCATCCAAAGCCTTGATGATGCCAATAAAAACAGTTCTAGCTGAGGAGTACGAGAGAAGACAGTGATCGTACACCTGCTTCTTAATGTAATCATGTTCGAGAACTTCAGAACAGTCCTTGCCGGAAAGAAGTTTGAGGTGCTGCTCCTCAAATTGACCCCAGTAAAGCTCGAGCATGTCCAGCTTCGACTGTAGCTCCGACACAGAGAGATGCTTTACTACATCTGTCGCCGATTCCACCTTGAGGGACTCTATAAATTTTGCGTATGACATGCTTAAGCGAGAGAGGCACAACAGGCGAGAAAAAACAAAAAAAATCGAAAATGCGAGAAAAAAAGCAAAGCAAATAGCGTGCAATAAGCGAGGCAGTAAAAGCACTCAAAACAGATCGCAAAAAATGTTTGCGCACACACTAAAAAAAAAAGCTCAAAAAAATAAATTAAGCCGCACTCTAAAAACTCTAAAAAATTCTAAAAATACAGCGCTAGCACGGAAGCAGCAGGTATCAGGAAAGCCGAGAGAAAAAAAAACGCATGAAAAATGGAGAATAATAATTAATTCGACTTCCCTGAGAGAAGTTCCACAGCTGCAACCCTGTTGCCGACAATATGGCGTGTGCAACCGAATGGGCGTCTCTTGAAGGCGGCACAGTAGGAGGAGCTTAGTGAGCGGAGCGTCTGGGCGGAGCGCTGGACTTAGCGGGAAACTCGGCTTCGTGGTCTTCTGTCTCTCTCTCACTCACTCGCACTCCACTACCCGGCAAAACTCAACAAAGTTATGATAAAATTAATGTCACTAGTTCGATAACACGCTGGAAGGACCAATGTTTCGGCGAGAATGTTCTTAATTACGCCGTAAAATTCCGGGATGGAGGAGGAAAAAACGAGTGGTACACAAAATAATTTTGACACGAGATGCGCTACGTTTTGTCACTGATAAATGTTGTATTTAAACGTCAAGTTGATAACTATCACAGAAAATATTCACAACCAATTTACCGCGATCAAACACTGGTATGATTAGATACGGTGGAGAAATAATTATATTAGAGACGTGCACGATGATTAGAGATGAAAAATAGAGAGAATTTCCGAGAACACCACGTCTAACTACGAGAACCACGAGAGATGAGACGGAAGAGCAGTATGTAATTAGCCGCAAATTATCAATAATTACAAAAACGAACTCTTACAATCGATTGTAAATCGTTCGCAGGTGATTGTAAAAAAGGTCATAATGTTTAAGAGTAGATAGTTTTTTTATAAAAAATAAAAAACTTATGACCCATGTAGTTAGCCGCATTTTTTTTCTAATCACTCTTAAATGATTTTTTTTATTGTAATCGTTTGCAATTCGTTTGTAAATACTATATTCATTTGAATCGACGTTTAAGAGTCATTAGTCTGGAAATTATCAGCAATAAACGTGATTGCAAAATTGCGTGGAGGGGATAAGACTTTGCAAGTATGACGGCGCATGCGCAACTATTGAGAGGATTTTTCTGTTATACGCTCAAAAATAGATTAATGTCTTTCTCACTTTAATTTTGGAAGATTTCACTACGACTGTCTTTTAATTGAACATTGAGTGACACATCGAAACCATTGTACTTTTTGTAAGTACATTAATAATTATAATAACTTGTTCACTAATGGGTGATATTTGGAGAACAATTATCGTTCGAGTAATCCCTGGTTATTCCCACCCAAGCAGAATATGGGCTGACAGAACCCCATAATATTTGTCATGAGACATTGGTTTAACACTTCTGTTTAACAAAAAAACGTAAGGATTGAATTCAAGGTTTTTGCCCAACCCTAACTGGGTTTATGAAATTCACAGCATAAGCTGTAAGCTTGGGTGGGAATAACCAGGGATTACTCAAACGATAATTGCTCTCCAAATGTCACCCATTAGTGAACAAGTTATAATAATTGTTAATGTACTTACAAAAAGTACAATGGTTTGGATGTGTCACTCAATGTTCAATTAAAAGACAGCCGTAGTGAAATCTTTCAAAATTAAAGTGAGAAAGCCATTAATCTATTTTTGAACGTATAACAGAAAAATCCTCTGAATAGTTGCGCATGCGCCGTCATACTTGCAAAATCTTATCCCCTCCACGCAATTTTGCAATCACGTTTATTGCTGATAATTTCCAGACTAATGACTCTTGAACGTCGATTCAAATGAATATAGTATTTACAAACGAATTGCAAACAATTACAATAAAAAAAATCATTTAAGAGTGATTAGAAAAAAAAATGCGGCTAACTACATGGGTCATAAGTTTTTTATTTTTTATAAAAAAACTATCCACTCTTAAACATTATGACCTTTTTTACAATCACCTGCGAACGATTTACAATCGATTGTATGAGTTCGTTTTTGTAATTGTTGATAATTTGCGGCTAATTACATACTGCTTCAGACCTTTACCTCTCCACCGGCCCGCCGGTGTTCCCCAAAACACCCCCATTCCCCCTCATTCCCCCTTACGATTCGCAGGTTGCTGGAGGTGCAACGGTGACCACCGTGTCAGGGTTTGCCCTGCACCCGGTCGCCGTTGCTACTTCTGCGGCAGATGGGGAGAGAATGTGCTCTCCTGCCCAGAGTGTCGCAACCTCCCCTGAACCCCCGATACGACTTCCCCCCCCCCCCCATTTGTTTTTTCTTTCTTTTCTTTTTCCTTTTTTTTCTTTCCCTCTTTCGGTTAAAATCATTTTTTTTGTAGTTATTACCGATTTCCCTAGGCCGACATCGCCATTAACGGCAACTATTCTTTTCTTTATTATTTTTTTTTCTGATATCATTATTATTATTTTGTTTTATTATAATCATTATTGTACTGGTGGGGATATGAAGGGAACTCACAGGGTACATAATAAAATAGTTTTGCACACTTCTACTTATCTGAGTCAGCTTCTTTCTGCAGCTCCTTCCACCTGGACCGACGGAAATCATCACAAAATATAATTAAAGGTTTGCTGATCGACTCACGCAGGGTTGTTTAAACCCTACGTGGTGTCTACCCCCGGGACTGTTGTGACGAGGTACCCATAATTGTTCTGCCCTCCCCCTAAAAGCCCCCTAAATTAATTGTAATAACAATCTTAATTGTAAGGCTAATCTTAAATTATAATAATAATCTAATTATAAGAATAATAATCTGAATTATCGGACGCCACCGTTGGATGCCCATCCCCGCGATACTCCTCCCCCCCCCCCTTTTTCTTCTTCCCCATACCTCGCCGCCTCACTGCGATGACATCAACGCAGCAATCGTCACCCGCCTGCAGTGTCCAGGAGCCCCCGAAACTCACCCCAGGAATACCCGGAAGTCGCCGTGACGGATTCTCGATAGCCCCCTGTAGTCGAGTGAGTACCTTTTGTGTTTCCTCCCCTCCCCCAGTATTTTCCCTTTTTATTATTACGATTTTTCCCCCCAACGGTGAGCCTCCCGCATAATCAATTTGGTAGAGTTAATTGTATTAGTATTTTAGGTTATTTGCCCCCCCTCTTGCCCCCCTAGCTTCTTCCCTTTATTTGCATTAGAGTCTTCCCTTTTATGCGTGTACAAAAACGACTTAGCCTTACCCTCACCCCCTGCCCTTACGTAAAAAAGGCTTAACATTACCTTGTTGTAAATATTTTATACTAAACTTCAAATACGTTAAAATATAGAGTAATTATTTGGAAAATTCGATAGCCCCTTTTAATTAAATAATTTCCCCTCCCCTTTTTCAGGTTTTCATATAATTAATTCTAGTACATGAACAAGGTAATTATTCCCCGGATCACAGTACTTAAAGATAACGCCACTCCAATTTTTTGTAATCCAAGGTCATTACCTTATGCATTGATGAGTAAAGTTGAGACTGAAATTGATAGGTTATTGAAAGAAAAGGTTATTGAGCCTGTGAAAAGTAGTGAATGGGCAACCCCAATTGTGCCGGTAATTAAAACTAATGGTTCAATCAGAATTTGTGGTGATTATAAAATTACAGTTAATAGATTTTTTAAAATTGATAAGCAGCCGATATGAAGAATTCAGGATCTCTTAGTAAAATTGAATCAGGGAAAAGTTTTTAGCAAAATCGATCTTTCTCATGCATATTTACAAGTTGAATTAGATGATAAATTTAAACTTTTGTCAACAATCTCGACCCATAAAGGGTTGTTTGTGTATAATCGTTGTTGCTTTGGAATTGCGTCAAATCCTAGCCTTTTTCAAAGGTTGATGGAATCAGTTTTAGTCGGGATCCCTGGAGTCGTTGTATTTTTTGACGATATTGTCATAGCGGGGTCTAGTAAGCAAGAACATGATGAGAGATTAATTGAAACGTTGAATCGTTTAAAAAATAGTGGTCTAACTGCTAAGATGAACAAATGTCAATTTTTTAAGAAGGAGATTGAATTCTTGGGTTTTACAATTAGTGAAAATGGTATCGGAGTAATTAAAGAAAAAGTTGAACCTATTGCTAAAGTTCCACCACCAAAGAACATTAAGGAATTGAGATCGTTTCTTGGTATGACTAATTATTATTCTAAATTTATTCAAAATTATGCTGATGTTGTAGCTCCAATGTTCTCACTTTTAGGAAGGATGTTAAATGATGTGCAATTAAAAAGAAATTAATTTCGGGGCATGTGAGAGTTCATTATGATCCTAATTTGCCTGTGAAAGTGACTTGTGATGCTTCTCCAATTGGAGTTGAAGCTGTAATATCGCGTATTTTTCCAGATAATGTTGTCAAACCAATTGCTTTTAATTCTCGTGCCCTAACCAAAGCTGAACGTAATTACTCGCAGCTTGACAGAGAGGCATTGGGTATTGTTTTTGCTGTTAAGACGTTCCACCAGTATTTGTATGGCAGGAAATTTCTTTTGGAAACGGATCACAAGCCGTTACAGTTTATCTTTAACCCCAAGAAAGGTTTGCCTGTTTTTGCTGCGAGTTGGGTGCAGAGGTGGGCAGTATTTTTGTCTGGATATCATTACGATCTTGTACATATTAAGGGAACTAGTAATGTAATCGCTGATTATTTATCACGGGCGCCTAAATTAAGTGAAGAGGAAATGGAGAAAAACGAATTTACTTATTTAGATTATGTAGAATCTGAGATCCATACTATTGACAGTGAACTGATTCGTGAAGAAACAAAAAAAGATATGATTTTATCTCAAGTTTTAGAATACGTTATGAATGGGTGGCCGGATAAAGTTGATGCTAAAATTGACAGTTTTAAAAACAGATATCGTGAGTTGGCGGTGGAGCGTGAATGTCTGATGTGGGGATATCGTGTGGTTATTCCTAGTTCACTTCGGGAAATGTTGCTGAGAGAGCTTCATTCGAGCCATATGGGTATTGTGCGGATGAAGGCCGTTGCACGTTCTTATATCTGGTGGCCTGGTATTGATGGTGACATCGAAAACACAACACAACGGTGTATTTTATGCTTGGAGAACTCAGATAATCCACCAAGAGCTAAGTTACAAAATTGGAAATGGCCTGAAGGCCCTAATCAACGTCTTCATATAGATTTTCTGGGCCCGATTGATGGGAGAATGTATATGGTTATAATTGATGCTTTCTCTAAGTGGCTAGAGGTAAAAGAAATGAAGGACATTACGTCGAGGACAACAATTGTGGCCCTCAAGGAGTATTTCCGTTCATGGGGCTATCCAGAGATTATTGTGAGTGATAATGGTCCCAGCTTGGGCTCGGAGGAATTTGAGAAATTCATGGATGACAGGAGAATTCTTCACATCAAAACAGCACCGTATCACCCAGCCTCAAACGGAGCAGCTGAAAACGCTGTGAAGACTTTTAAAAACAAATTTAAGTTGTTGCTCAAAGAAGGTTTGAGTCGTGAAGAAGCTCTGGATAGATTTCTTTTGAGTTATAGATCTACGCCACATTGTACGACTGGATGTTCACCTGCAGAATTACAATGCGGAAGACCGATGAGAACATCAATTGACTTGGTTAGACCCAATCTTCGTGGTCATGTATTGAAGCAACAGCTAAGTCAACAGATACATGCCTCGGGGAATCGAAAATGTCTTTTCAGCTATGGAGACATAGTGATGGCAAAAGACGTTATGAGAAACAAATGGATTCAAGCGAAGGTGATGAATCAATTGTCTCCAGTAACTTACGTTGTGAAAACAATTGATGATCGTCTATGGAAACGTCATATAGATCAGCTTAAATCCTCCTTGTTAACTGAAAAACCGGCATTGGTAGCTGAAGTCAACCCTGGTTTTTTGGACAGTTTTGTAAACGAAGCTAATTCAGAGGATCAGCCGAGGAGTTTTGGAATTCCTGAGAAGTCTCCAGAGTTCAATGAACCACAGGTTTCCGAGAACAAATCAAGGGACATCTCTGATAGAGAAGCGACTGTGGCAGCCGACGAGTCTCCAGACAGCCCACTGAAATCATCTGAGCTAGTATCACCCGTTTCAGATAGGCTCACTCCACGACCGGCTAACTCACGTCTGACAAACCAACGTTTTTCGGCCACTCCACCAGTAGTTGAGTTGAGACGTTCTTCACGTATTGGGAAACCAGTTGAACGACTGAACTTGTAAAAGCTTTATATTTTTATATTTATGAGTATGGATGTGTGAGTTTGTTCGCGAACTTTTAATATGCATTTTTCATTTTGGACAATTTTTTGTAAATTATTTCCGGAGGAGTGTAATATTTGAAATATGAGATCCTAAACTGACGAGACATCTTAGGTCGATTATAAGAACTGATAATATCATTATTATTGTTATTACGTAATATTCTCCTTCTACCTTGTAATGGCGTACTATCAAGACTGACTTAAATATATATTAAAGTTATCGCCCTATATCCAGTGCATCTCAATTAATTATAAACCTTCCTAGTATTGGACTATTAAGAGACTTTACAAAGCTGGTGAACGATCCATGGATGATAATTTAAATCGTTAACCTGATAAATTGGGGAATTCGAAGTGATATTTCAATGAACTTACCACCACTTTCAGTGATGGTAAAGTCAAAGATTTCTGCAGTTTAACGTTTTCCATGAATCGATTGGCACCTTTCATCATAGAATCCATTCATCACTGTTCCCACAGCAATAATAATCCGTAACGTTTATACGGCATTTCATTTCATGACAAAGAGCTGAAACATCAGTCACCTCCATGCTGTTAGAATACATTATTATTAGGTGCAGACGTCCATTTTGGAGCGACATGGGTCCTCTGTGTTATGAATGTTCTACAATTACTTAAAGAAGATAGTTAAATCCAATGCCACTAATTTTAACATTTAGTGTCACTATTTAATTAAAATATTTTCATCTAGGAATCATGACTGCGCCGAAATATAGAAGGAATATTATTCTACTCACATGTTTTAGCCCTGGAACATCACTTTCACGGAAACATTTGCATTCAGTTCAACTTCGTGTGCCACGTCACTTTTGGCATTGTTCCGATTCAAAACTTGAAGAATACGTATTATACCACAAATTGCAAAAAAAATTACATAATATCAGAAGCCGCAGTAGCTGCTTGCGCCATGTGTATGCGCAAAAACGTCAGTGCACAGCTGCGGGTTTATATACATTTAGTTTTCGATGATTTCGCGCATTTTTTTTTATTTCTCTTATTTTTCCGGAACAAAAATCATGGAGTATAGATTTTTGGATTCTTTTCCCATTTTTAATGTAAAAATGCCCAAACCTTCATTTTTATTTGCAAAAAAAAAGATATTATGCAAGACCACGCCCCTTTTCCTCAATTGTTCTAAAAAAAATCAACCCGGACATTTCGTTATTATGTTGCCCCACCTTACATTCAGAGCAGTATGTAATTAGCCGCAAATTATCAATAATTACAAAAACGAACTCTTACAATCGATTGTAAATCGTTCGCAGGTGATTGTAAAAAAGGTCATAATGTTTAAGAGTAGATAGTTTTTTTATAAAAAATAAAAAACTTATGACCCATGTAGTTAGCCGCAT